TCAGAAAATTGTTATTGAATATGTCAATGCTGTTGTAACGAAGTGCTTCTTCTAAGTATGTGGTTATTAAATAAATAATAAACTGAAAAAATTATTTTATTTATTATTTTTATTTTATGCTTATGCGTGTATTGAGTGCATGTAGGTTAGTGCACCCCTGTCGTGCAATGCCCGTGGAGGACAGAAAAGACCGTTAGATCCCCTGGAACTGGAGTTACAGACAGTTGTTAGCTGCCATGTGGGTGCTGGGATTCAAACCTGGGTCTTCTGCAAGAACAGTTAGTGTTCTTAACTGCTGAGTCATCTCTCCGGCCCCCTGAAATGTTTTTTAAAGTCTTCAAACTTATTAAACTTAGCAGGAAAATCTTAAAAAACACTTTTTGGAGTTACAGACTTATCTAAATGGGATGATACAGCACATCAGAAGAGAGCATCCTAACATGTTCCCTTTGTTCCATCTTCCTCAAAGGTGAAGGAGTGAACCGGACGAGGGGGGAGGGGGGAACGGGGAGGGAGAAATAATAGAGAATAAAAATAGTACTAGGTGTCGGGTTGTGGCTTCGTACAGCTATCTTTGTTTATTAGTGGCTGATATCCGGTCTGGGTGCTGTTCCCACAGTCTCATATCAGTACAACCATTCAGAAATGAAACAAACCACAGGAAACAAGCAAAACAGCTCTTCAGCTATCTGGTATGCATCGCCAATTCAAACATAGAATTTAAAGTTCTCTAATCAAGTTTCAAAATATCAACCTATTAGGTCATCACCTGCCAATTGGAGGTGGGGATCCTTATTAGAACTTTATGAACATCTGTAGTCAGAACAACTTTATCTAGTGTAAGACATGCTCTGAAACTCAAAATATGCTAAAACAGTGGCACTGTCCTAAAAGCTTGGCAATGCATTCTCCTTCCTATTACCATTCAAGGCGCACACCCTTCCGTTTTAGAGTGTTCCATCAGTATCCTCCACAGGCAGTTGGAAATGAGTCTTTCTCATTTTTTTTTTGTTTCTTTTTTTGTTTTTTTTTCTGAGACAGTATCTCCCTGTAGCCCCCAGCTGGTCTTCATCTCACAGAGATCCACCTGCCTCTGCCTTCCAAGTGTTTGGATTAAAAGTATTGTGATGGTTTGAATGAAAATGTCCCCCATAGGTTCCAAGTATTTGGACATTGCTCAAATAAACTCTTCTTTCTATAAATTGCTTGGGTCAGTGTTTCTATCACAGAAACAGAAAAGTGACTAATACAGGTATGTACCATCAAGACTGGCTTACTCGTTTGCTTTTTTGAGACAGGGTCTCACTATATCGCCCTTGCTATCCTAAAACTCACTATGCAAGCCATACTGGCCTGGAACTCAGAGATCCTCCTGCCTTTGCCTTCTGAGTGCTGGGATAAAAGCATATGCTACCATGCCTAGCCCACTCCTTCACCTTTAAAGAAGATGGAACAAAGGGAACATGTTATGGATGCTCTCTTCTGATCATGTCTGATAAGTCTAGAATCTCTTCCTGAGAAGAAAACAGTCAATCAGATTCTTTTCCCAAGATTACAGAACTGAGACTTCAAGTGTTTGATCAGCTGGCTCTAAAGGCATCACACTAACAAGGACATGTTAAAGATTGGAGGGAAGAAGGAAATATTGAGGTTGCTCTCATATCCAGATGAGCAAACAGAAGCCTGGCCAGTAGAAAGCAGAATAATGCACAAGCAAAAAAAAGAACAGAGATCAGAAAGTAAATGGCCCTTAGTCTCAGGACATTCCCAAACCAGGTTCCAGTTTTCTGTGAAATCCACGTGTTACTGCTTACCCTTACATGAGAAAAGAAACCTTTACATACTTCCTGTAAAATCTTCTGGTTTTGTGTAGTTTGAGTGGGGTTCTTGACTCAACTCCTAATTATCAACAATCACTGGTTAAAGTTGTTTTTCTTTAGTAATTTTGTAATAATCATGAGGTTTTTATCTTGATTTGAGTTTTCTCCTTTTATCTGTCTATCAGAGTTTTCTAACAGTCAGATTTTTGAGAAGAGAGTATTGTTACTTATAAATTTAACAATACAAGGGAACTTTGTATCAACAAGATAAGGTAACTACTTACATAATCTGGTAGAGGAACATCATTGGAACTCAGCGAACTTCTCAAGGACTGGGTGGCTTGTTCTAGAACTTTGTTGTGTTTTTTAGACAGCAAAGAAAACAAACTGAAAAACACAAAAGAAAACCCCATTACATTAAGAGAACTAAGCATCTCCTTTTCTAGGTCTAATATGGAATTATATAATTCCATAGTATATTAATCATTATGAAATCTATTTAGAAATAATTTTAGGAAGAAAACAGATTTATTGAATACACTGCAAAGGCAGTAGGCTGGGCAGTAACAAGAGAGTTGCCAACAGCCTAGAAATAATTTTCATGTTAATAGTAGGATTAACAATACTCTTTATGTAACAAAATGGAGTAAAGAGGATGTTTAAATTATAAGGGTTCCAATGATAAAGTGCTATAGGTTAAATTTAAGTTTTAAATATATGAGAAACTCTCAAAAGATTATTATAGTTGTCCTAGTTTGCTTTCTATTGCTGTGATAAAACACTGACCAAAACCAACTTGAGAGAGGAAAGGAAATATTTCAGCTTACAAATTATAGTCCATCCTTGAGGGAAATCAAGGCAGGAACCTAGAGCAGAAACCACAGAAGAATGCTGCTTACTGGCTTGCTCCTCTGGCCTGAACTCTGTCTCTAATATTTTTTTATTTATTTTTATTTTATGTTGTATGAGTGCATGTAAGTAACCCGCAAGTGTAATGTCCACAGAGCCCAAAAGAGGATGTCAGATCCCCTAGAACTAGAATTAGGGATAATTGTTAGCTGCCATGTGGGTGTTGGGAACTGAATCCAGGTCCTCTGGAAGAGCAGCCAGTACTCTTAACTTTTGAGCCATCTTCCCAGCCCCCAGTCTGCTTTCTTTCTTTTTTAAAAAATATTTTATTATTTTATTTTGTGTTTGAGTGTATTGCCTGGATGTATGTATGTGCACCCATGTTGCGCAATGCCCACAGAGATCAGAAGAGGGTGTCGAGTCTCCTGGAACTGGAGTTATGGACAGTTGTTAGTCACCATGTGGGTGCTGGGAATTGAACTCAGGTCTTCTGCAAGAGCAGTCAGTACTCTTAACCACTGAGCCATCTCTCCAGCCCAGCCTGCTTTCTTATACAACCTAGGTCGATGTGCCCAGGGATGGCACCACCTATACTGGGCTGGTCCCTGCCATAACACTCAACAATCAAGAAAATGGCTCAGATGTGCCCACAGGCCAATCCAATAGAGGTTCTTCCCAGGTGTAGCAAATTGACCACTGGCACTATCCAGAACAATAGGGGGAAAACCAGGAGAGATAAGCCTGGGATACAAACAGGACTATTTTATGACTAGTTCCAGTGTAAACTACTTACACAAGTCACCTGCACTTGTGTATCTTCGTTTTCTAATCTTCTAACAAATATGTTGGATCACTTCACTTCTCTAGTGTAATATAGAATTACAGATATATAAGAACATAGTTTATATCATTTCTCAAGAAGAAAAATTTTAAGTATGTATTTTTCAAAAAGTATTTTATTTATTATTTTTATGTGTCTGAGTGTATTACCTGTATGTGTGTAAGTGCTCTTATGTCATGGAATGCCCACAGAGGTCAGAAAAGGGTATCAGTCTCCTGGAACTGGAGTTACAGATGGTTGTTAGCTGCCATGTGGGTTCTGGGAATCGGACCAGAGGACCTTACAGAGGTGCTCTTACAGAGAACCTCTTAACTGCTGAGCCGTCTCTCCAGCCCCTTAAGTATATATTTATGACATTTCTAAATCTAGTCACGATGAATTAACTGGTACCAGGCTAACTTTCCTGTTGTAATCAACTAAAAATTAGAAAAAAATAATAAGAAATTGTTTCAGATGAATCAGAAATGAAGGATTATGACCCTTAAAAGAAGAAAATACATGATTTCCTTAATGGTGAGTCTCTGTTTGAAGGGATAATCTAGTCCATATTATGGTTCAGAAAAGTAAAGTCTTTTCTGACTTTAAAATCAGAAAAGTAGTAGGGAAGAATACTGAGGTCAGAAGACAGAGATATGAATTTGGGATAACCATTAACTGAACTTGCACAGCCTTCCATTACATAGGACTATAAGAAAAAGAACTATAAGAAAGGTCCAGAAATCCATATGTCTTCTTGAGTGTTTGGAAAAGTACTGGGCTGTAACTGTGGAAGCAAGATCCCATAGACGTGGCAGTGAACTGTTCAAGATGGATGCAATGAACAGATTTTGGAAGTCATAACAGACTGAAGACTATTGGTGATCCAACCAGTCAGGGGATAAAACTCCTTTATTAAGAGCATTCAGTTGAGTTCTTAGATTGATCACTCTTTAGGAAAAGGAGTATTTCAGGGTATGAATTACTGTGATCTAAGAGGTACTTTAAGAAAGCTATAATGACAAATTTTCAAAGAATAAAGGTGATTTACATTAATTTTTTTTTTTTTTTTGAGACACAGTCCCCCTGTAGCCCCAGCTGGCCTGGAACTTGCTATGTAGACCAGATTCTCACAGAGATATGCCTGCCTCCATCTCCCTTTGCTGGGATTAAAGGCATGTGCCACCCCATATGGTCTGATTTACATTAAATGTAAGAGGACTAAACACTCCAGTTAAATAGCAGAGATTTTCAGATTGGGTAAAAGATTTAGACCCAACCATGAGCTATAAATTTAAAGACTTATAAATTTAAAGACAAAGATTAAGTTCATAGTAAAAGGCTACAACACACACAGATCATAGAAATATTTATCACAACAAAGCTGGTATGACCACGTTAACTACAGATACAGTAGGTTGAAAGATAAAGAATATTATTAGGGCTAGAGAAATGGCTCAGCAGTTAAGAGCACTGGTTGCTCTTGCAGAGGACCTGGGCTTGATTTTTCAGCACCCACATGGTGGCTAACAATCATCTAACTCCAGTTCCAGGGGATCTGATGCTCTTTTCTGACCTCTGTGGGCACTGTACAACATGGATGCACTTAATACATGCAAGCATTATACTCACACTCATAAAAAAATACTATTATTAGAGATAAAACAGAAAATGTTTCTAATGATGAAAGCCAGTTCATTAAGAAGATATAACAATTGTAAACATATGCACTTACTAGAGCCACAACGACATTATTTTATGTACAGAGTATGTCTTAATAATATATGTATAGACATATGTACATATATTGTAATAGTAAATCTACCATATCTAAGTTAATAGACTCTCTGTGGGTTAGGGTACAGCTTAAACACAAAAGCAATTCTGATTCCATGTACTTCCCATATACATTTGAGGCATGGTATGTAGTATTTTTTCTATAAAGTTGTTTATGTTTTTTGCCAGGCGTGGTGGCACATTCCTTTAATCCCAGCATTCAGGAGACAGAGGCTGGTGGATCTCTGTGAGTTTGAGGGCAGCCTAGTTTACAAAGCAAATTCAAGGCCAGCTGGGGCTACAGGGAGACCCTGTATCAAAAAGACCCCCCCGCCCAAAAAAAGTTGTTCATGTTTTTATTTCAGAACTTTTTCAAACATATAAGGCCCTTTCTTCCTAAGTACAATTCCTCAACCTGGAGAAAACCAAGTTTCTTTTCCTTTGACTCTAGTATTTCTTAGTGATGCTCTTTTAAATAAAATACTGACTTGAATATCAGTTTAGGAAAGACCTGAATTGTTTCAGACGACTCCAAGGAAAGTCCAGAATAGCCCAGGAAGTAAAGGCCACTAAACATTCTTTCTAGATTAAAGTGATTTTCTATTTTTTATCTATTTTTTATTTATTTTTATTTTTTATAGGCAAAAAATCTATCACACATTTTATTATTATTCAATTTCCTTACAGATTAGTTAAAACCAAATTTATAGTCTAACGTATTTTTATGAAATACTCAATATCATCAGTTCATACTAAAATGTCATAACTAAGAAGTATGCATTTCAAAAATATCATAGTTTATTTTTTCTTTTCAAAGCAAATTTTATTGAAATATGTATTATGATACATTATGTTTAAAGTACAACTCGTTCACAAGCCCCTTTATAACATCATTAAATTTTTTCCCAGTTAATGATTTATTTAATAACCACATACTTAGAAGAAGCATTTCATCACAACAGCATTGACATATTCAATAACAATTTTCTGAGCTAAGATGCATCTTTTTCAAAATTGGATGTAATTTTTAGGTTTACAGTTGAATTAATACAGTTGTACAATATTGTGCTCAGTATAAACCCTGAAAGA